ATATTTGATGCACTGCAGTAATGAATTATTTCTTACTCATGTAAGTATTTTTTATTGTTATCCTTCTGCTTTGTCCCCACCCTTCGGGGTAATGAAAGTGATGTTACGAAAAACCTTCTGCCAAAGAGACTACAGGCACCCATTAAATGTTGTAGCCTTAGGGAGTTTTAGGTTCACTACATTTGTTTTGACAATCATATATTGTGGAAAGGATCCCAGCAGAACTTGAAATTACAAATGGGAGCAATCTACTCATCTTACATAAATTGGTTCTGAGTTAATAACTTGGCTCTCCCATGAGAGACTAATTGTCCATTGTCTCTCCATCTGTCTCCTTCTATCTCAATTTGATTAGAATGAGGCTAGGTTAGAGCCAGTTGATGTGCATGAATATTGAGATTTAACCAGTAGTTAGTCATTCCAATTTAAATTATTTTTTATCCTACCAGGAAATTTTTAAACAAGAAAGCTAATTAGTCTAGGCAGCATTTTTTCCCCCTGTCGTTCCTTTCCTATTCCCAAATATTTTTATATGTTCCATTTATTTCCATTTTCTTTTATGTTTGCTTTTTAAAATGGAGATTGTGATGGGTTTATAGAACATTATAAACTTTCACTGCTTTTTCTCATTGACAAGAAGGTGTCTGTTTTTGTCTATAGAAACTCTGGCCATGTTTTTTCAAAGATTATGTAAAGGCCCACAGTGCTGAGATTGGGTTTGTATGCAGATATTGTCTCATGCTTCTCTTTAAGGATGAAGGTTAGGCTACCTTTGATCTCTGTAAGGATCTACCTTGCATTGCTAAGGTAGTATAGAAAGCCTTCAAAAATTTCACTTGGTTATATTTTGCTACCTGCATTGTATGGGTAGGAATCACCACAGATAGTCCTCAACTTATGACTATAACAGATTCTGCCCATTACAGTTGTAAATTGTGATGAGTGTACAATGGGTCACCACATGACTGGACTCATTTGTATGAGATTTTTTTGTGGTGATTGTTAAATAACCACAGTAGTTGTAAAGCAAACACAGTAGTCATAAAGTAAACCCATTGTTGGCCATGGGGCATTTTTGCAAACAGAAGTAAATGCTTTGGTTAGAGCATTTTTCAGTATTGCAATCTAACTCAGCATTCCACTGCCACAAGTTCGATCCTGACCAGCTCAAGGTTGACTCAATCTTCCATCCTTCCGAGGTCAGTAAAACGAGGACCCAGATTGGTGGGGGCAATATGCTGACTCTGTAAACTGTTTAGAGTGGTATATAAATGTGGAGTGGTATATAAGCCTAAGGGCTATTGTTATTGTTAAAACATCATAAAGTGCAGTCACATGACTGTGGGATGCTGCAAACAGCTGTTAAAGTGGGCCAGTTTTAGAGCTCCAGATGTGTGGTCACATGATTGAATGGGGAAGAGGCAGTTGTGAGAACTTCAAAACCAGATTATAAGTACTTTTGTGAGGGATGTAGTGAGCTCCATCGTAATTTTGAAGAATCATTAAGTGACCAGTCATAAATTGAGGACTACCTGTATATCATATCCCACTCTTTGTCCCACTGGTTGAATTTAGTTCTTTAGTTTAGCAGAGAAATCATAGAGATTGCTCTTTGAGTGGGTTACTAGACATGTTTTCATTCTAGTACCATTACCCACTCTTTTGAGTGGGTTACTGGACATGATGTTTTCATTCTAGTTACTGGTGGTAACACTACCAGTATTCCATTAAGGAAGGCTTTCACTTACAGACTATGCCTTCACCTGATCTCAAAGGAAGATTATGGAAATGGCCAGTGGAACAATGCCTTTTCTCCATGGGGCAGGCCATTCACTAATATGTCCTCTATTATCCTGCCTATAATAAGAGGAGGGAAGAAGACTCCAGATGCAGAATGATTGCATTATCTTCCTGTGCCCATGATTTGTGTTTTAGCAGCCAAGTTGTAACTGTTGCACTGCTCTCTTTTAGACTCAGAAAATAACTTTTTATGTTCTAAATTGTAACATTGGTTTTAGTTCCACTTAATTTCTTTATATGGCTTTTTATTCATGCTGCATTTCTTTGTATTGCTATTAATTTTTCTCTCTTTTTATATTATACTATGTTACTATGACCTGTGGTAAAAATAATAAGCTTAGTAGTTAAATACATTTTAGCATTCACCTTCAGAAAATGAGATTTCCCCCATCTATAATGTTGTACAGGATTTAAAATATATGGCTGTATTATATTTTTTTAAAAAACCTATTTGAAATATAATTTTGGAAGAGTTTTGAATTCAAAAGAGAACTGCTTCTAGCTTGAAATACTTTAATAATGACTATAGGCAGCTGTTCTGAATGAGAATTGGGCCATTTCAATCATTCCATTTAGAACCTTTGCACATAAATAGGTGTTTTCAAATGCATTAGACCACAGAATACACATTTATGAATATACTTGATCAAAATGTATTATATTTAAACGAATCACTTCTCAAATCACTGTAGTATCTTTTAAAACTGAGAATCTTCCTACAAAATTCAAAGAAGTGTGAAATTTGATGAATGATCATATCTGATGCATGCAGTGATCCAAGTGCTACAAGTTGGGTGAGTTAACATCAGAATTCACCCCAAGCACTTTGAGGAGGGATTACTCATCTGAATTCAACCCAAATCCCCATAGGAAGACTTTGAAATGTGACAGATTTTGATTTACAGATTATTTCTAGAGAAATATTCAGAATATTTTCTATTTCTACTAAAAAAAATCTGTAGGGGACTTGGCAGTGCTATAGTGTGCTCAGTTATAAAGCTAAGCAAAGCTTTGGTAACTAGGACTGTGCAAAATCGTTGAATAGGGCACTTTGCAAAGCATGTTACTATAAATGAATGGTTCCCAACTTTTTTTTGGCCATGTCCCACCTAACCATCTCTAAAATCCTGATCCTCCCCCTAAAATCCTGATCACCCCCTCTACTTACCTTTACTACTGGTTCGCAATGGGGCCACACACGCGTGCTCGCCTTGCTCGCACATACGCACACTCTTCTGCACATGCGCAGAAGCATTCTGATGACATTGGGGTCGGTGGGTGGAGCCTCCTGCTGGTTTTACTATCGGTTCTATAGAACCGGTGCGAACCGGGGGCAACCCACCACTGATTCTTACTTTACTCAAAAAGTGAACTCTACTCATGTGGAGGAAACCTAAAAGGCCATTAACTTGGTTTAAACAAGGTTCAAATTGTCTCCATTAAAAGTCAAATTGCCCCTCTGTGGGGTGTGGGCCCCATGTTGGGAACCACTGCTATAAATAAAGCATCTCTCCCTGAAGCACTAAAAGACCCATGCTCTCCAGAAGAATCACTGCACCTCCTAATTCTATCCCTAACCCTGGTTCTATGCATGTATGCGCATGCATAGCCTTTTGCTGTGAAGTTCTGTATGTGTAGACGTAAGTGTTTTTCAACTTCAGCAACTTTAAGATGTGTGGGCTTCAACTCCACAGTTCCCCAGCCAGCCTTTGCTAAGGTTGAGAAATATTGCATTAATGATTCAAGGAGAAATGCTTTGTCCAGGCCAACATAAATCAAGTTATGTTCAATCCCCCAAGGTGATGGTAGCTCCTAGTCTCATAGCCTTCTCAAACCTTCTCAGGGCCTCCTTTTCTGGAAGGCAGTAGGAGATGGAATAGTTTGTGAGAAGCCAGTGCCAGAATGTGAGGCTGTTACTGATGATAATGATGATGATGATGATGATGATGATGATGAGTGTATACTTTTTAGAACCTATTGGACTGATGTGTTAAATACATGAATGAGAACATGCAAGGAGGGAAGAAACTTAGCATAACAACCATTTCAAATCTTTTGCACAACCTTGTAAATAAATTCTGCTTAGTGCTGCCATACATTATTTTATTATACCCACAATATAAAAGTAAAAACCCTCTGTGAATACCAGTCATCCAGATAGAGATGAGGTAATCTTCAACAATGAGTTAATCTTCAACAATGTTGGTCTCTTAATATTAAATTGAATTTTTAATCATAATTATATTATATAATTATATTAAATTAATTTTTAATCCTCTAAGTATTTGCCTTTGATCAGGTACAGTATTTCAACTTTTTGCTTTTATTTTCAGCCAGATTTCCTGAGATCCTAGTGTCAGTCATCTTTGAGCTAATTTCTCAGATATTTCAAAACAACCTGTGACTATTTAATGCTGACATCAAAGAATAACACAAAATCAGGAATCTTTGACCTGTTCTGTCCTTGAAGTAGCACAAGAAACATCAAGTTCTGGGGCAGTATTGAATTCAGATAGTTGGCTTAAGAAAGCACTAGCAAAGAGGAAAAGAATTTAAAGATAAGAATCAGAAGAAGTTAACTGTTTCTTTGATGAATAAAAGCCAGGAAAATGAAAAGTTGATAGCCTACTATCTTCATAGCCTCCAGAAATGACCATTTCAAAGATCCAAAAAAAAAAAAAAAGAAAGAAAGAAATTGAGGCCATTTCTAGCTTCTGAGGCCTCTAGCCAGAATAAAAATAAAATTTAATGTATGAAAATGAAACAGGACCTAAAATGAAAGAAAAGTATTTGAAACTCTTAATGGAAAACTTGCAAATACCTAAATGTGTCTTTTACTTTGAATTTGAGTCCCAGGCCAAAAGTCTCTATGATTTCCCTGATCTAGATTTCCCATAACACCTCATGACTCTAAGCCAAGTAGAATAGATAGACTTTGCAGAGCTAACTTCTATAATTTTCTACGGCTGCTGTGATGTTACATCCTAATACTACTCAACTCCATTAGCTTTGCTTTTTGTTTGAGAATAGAAATAAATTCTTCATCATAAAGGTTAAACATTGTAATATTTATATTGCTTGCTTGCTGACAGACAGCGACAATGTCCCTTTAATTTGATCAGGTGAAGGCATTTTAACCCAGCATCACCCAGCAGGGGAGAGAGAGAGAGACTTCTTATTTCTTGTTCCTCCGTAGTTGTAACTTGGAGGTATGCTGCCCTTGATCCAGAGGTAACAATGAATCTTCAAAATGAACAGTTCTTGATGTCTGTCCTCCACGAATTTATCAAATCTCCTTTTAAAGTCATCCAGGTCAGTACCATCACCTTCTGGCAATGAATTCCACAGGTTAATTATGTCCTGTGTGAAGAAATGCTTTCTTTTGTCTGTTCTACAGTAAATCTCATTCCAGTTAGTGTAAGAGATTGTATTGAGGCTGGGAAATTAATGGAAGGGAAAGTAGACATAAATAATGGAGCAATAGAGAATCCCTTGGTAGCTTATCTTATAAATGGGAACTCATCCTAGGTCCAGAAACCTATAAAGAAACATTTTGAATCATTCAAAATAGTTAGTGAATTGAAAATAATAAGAATAATATATAATATAGATGATATAGACAGATAGAATATTTAAATTACTATAGATTATAGTAGTATAGTATTATAGTATGTATCTGTATTATAAATTGAAAATTCCTCTTGCAATTTCCATGATTCTGCATTTATCCCAAGGCTAGCATTAAAAATATTAAAAATATTTTACTAAAGTTGGTGTAATCCTTGTTTCCTTGTATTGTGACCAAAAGCACACCTGGCTCACCTAAAGCAGCCAAATCTTTTTGAAGATGTAACATATTAATTTTTTGCATGCAATCAATAATATATTGTATATACTGGACTCCCAGCAAAGTTTTACTGAAAAGCTTTACTGAAAAGCCTTGGGCAACAGCAAAACCAGGATTTATGTACCTTTGGCCCACTACATTGCAAAGCAAAGAAAAAAGGCAGACACAGTGGAAATTACAGTGTGATGTTGCAGTATTATCAAAATCCATCCATATTACCTTATGAATATAAATACATTTCTTCCTTCCAATTAGGTCAGCCTGCTAGCCACATTATCTTTGAGATATGATTGATGAATCAAAGCAATTTGGTTTACTGGACCACAGGATCCTAACTAATTTGTCTCTCTGTTGCCATTCATGGTTAATTCAACTTGCTGTGATTTTTTTCACACAAGACAAATTGAAGTAGACAGGGTGAAAATGAATACAATTATGCATAGAATGGACAAAGTAGAGAAGAAAAACTTAACAAACAGAAAACAGACAATGAGGCTAATTAAGGAATTAAGAAGTTCATATTTTTGGGAGGCATCTGAGAGATTTGTGAGAGTGAAGGCAGGTTACATGTGTATAGAGAGAGGGAAGGGGTATCTATCATCACATTTGACTTTGCCTAGCTGTCTGGGATTTAACAGTTAGCTTCATTGTACAATTTCTGTTGATAAAGTTTTTCCTCTCTACTTTGTCCATTCTATGCATAATTGTATTCATTTTCATCCTGCCGCCTTCAATTTGCTTTTTTTTTCTGGGTACCAAATGGTCTGTAGTTTCTCATAAGGAAGTTGTTAAAAGTTTTGGTTCGCCTAATTTTTCCAGGACTCTTATATTATTTTCCAAACGTGATTATGAGAACCAGCAAAATATTCTAGGTAGAGACATATTTTGATCTGTACAGAACAATGTTTTTAACTTTGACAACTTTAAGATGTATGGACTGGGGTTTTCTGGGAATTGAAGTCCAGACATCTTAAACTTGCCAAGATTGAAAAACACTGGTATAGAGAATCATAATATTGGCAAATGTATTTTCAGTTTCTTTCCTAATATGTTCTAGCATGGATTTTCCCTTTGTCAAAATTCCACACCCTAAAACAACATCTAAATAGAGCTATTATTAGCTGTAAATCATGCTAAGGTTCTTAGACCAATGTGCCTCTGCCAAAATACGATCCAAACCAGAAAGGTAGATTAATATTTTTTTATTTATGCATAAGTAAGAAGATAGGTATCCTACAGGTGCAAGGTGAAAAACCCCTTAGAAAGGGGACAAATCACTTTATATGTAGTTCAAACTACATATAGCTTAGAATGTGTTCTTCAATTATTTGAGCCATCAAGCATCTAAAGATCATGTCCAGCAACTATACATATACCATGTAACAGTTCATAACATCCCACAATACACTGATCTTGATCTTGTTAATGGCCAATTGAATATTCAGGGGGTGTGGTTTTACATTATAATGAGTTTTCAGGTTATTAAAGTTCATTTTTTTGTATACTGTTTGCCTTCAGCTGGCCTAAACTACCAGTATTCCTTATCAGAGCTCCACATTCCTCATGAAAAATGTACCTTCAGATGCTCCTTGAAGAGCTACTCAAAGAGACCCCTTCTCTTGCTCCCATGATTCCACTATCTTCCTGCTCCCATCACTACCCTCTATGATCTTAATGTCTTTTTCTTGGTTTGTTGGAGACAATGCCGAAATACATGAAGTTATTTTTCTCTCCAATGTCCACCACTTTATGCTTGGGTAAATAAGATCTCATTAACCATTTGGTTGAGCATTTACCTTGTTTAAAGACATCTTTCTTCAGCTCTTCATAATCACTTGTGGTTTTTGCTATCCTGAACTGACCAGTTAACAGTTTCTCTCCACTCTGTTCTTCACTGTCAATCAAGATAATTTGTCAACACATTAAAAAGCAAAAATATATCCTTGAGAGAACCCACTTTTTACTTCTCTCCGTTGAAAAAACTGCCCATTTAGTTGTACTTGTTTTTTGTTGTTTTGACAATCACCTATTAAATCACAAAAATATGAATCCTTTTGTCCCATGACTGCTAACTTTGCAAAGTGGCATTGATGAGGAACTTTATGCACTAGGTTGTGACTACATCCACAAAATCACCTAATTGACAGGCCTGTTGATACTCATAAAACAAAAACCTAGAAAGTTAATAAGGCAAAATTGACCTTGGCACCTGCTTTTCCTTGATGCAATCTTATATTTTAATATATTGTTTTTGCTAATTGGAGGGGAATACATTTCCTTCAACATATTGGAATTTGTCTGTCTGAAAATATTGTACAAGATGTCTTTAGTTGAACTATATAGCAATGTTGGAAATCAACCTCTTTATCATGTGTGTGAGGAACTTAAGTCTCAGCAATATGCAGGACAATTCATATTAATAATGTAATGCTTCCATTATGTGTATTGCTTCAACTTTGTACTTGGTTTCAAAGCTGAGCGTAGAATACTGGCTTGGTAATAATATTGCTAGTATTAACTGTCCAAGTCATAATTTTTTTCATTCATCTTTTTGATTATTTACTCATGAAAGGCAAAGGTTAAAAAGAATCATGTTATTCCTTTCTTTGAGATAATTTTTCAAATACTCTGGCATGTGAAAAAATGGGTATCTTTCATAGCAGAGTAGTTTTGCTGTCTTTATGCTGTTGTAAGTGGAACTTACCTTTTAGACTATTAATCGCCTTAAGCAGCATCAGTACCTAAATATTCAACATCTAATAACTTGGATCTCAAAAAAATGTTTTGTAAGTTCCAATATGCTGCCAAGAAGATATTCTCTGATCAGAAAACAGTCACTGTGTGATTACTTGTATTATCTCTAATATCTGCAAACTCATTCTGGATTACTTTAAGACTTGTGGAAGCACTATGGTTCATATATCCTCTTGGCTTTGATTTTCCAGTTAAGGATTTCAGAAAATGTTAGAATAATGAATGATTACTGCTGAAGATTGGAGAAAATACATTTACTGAAACTGTGCATTATTTTCTGAAATAATGCATTATTCTATTTTTCAGGAAGGGAAGACAGGAAGCTACAATATGTTTCCATTTAAAAAGGCCAGAATATGATATATTCCAACAATATACAAATTTTTGCTAATCTCATTATGCAAAAATAAACTTTAGCCATTCTACTGCACATATGCCAGATGGGATGCGTCAGTGGATTGTCTGAGTGAAGTAAATTCATTTTCCCCTTGGTTATGGGAAACAGAGGAGAAGATAGATATAATTTTTACTGAGATTTTTTTTTAATATATCCAATGTCTTAGTTTAGCTAAACTTAAGAAATGATCTTTGTAGGAACCATCTTGATCATACAACATTTGACAAAATAGCTGCTTTTAATTTTGTTGAAGGGAATTTTTTATGCAATGTTTTTAGTTCATAGAGGTGTCAAAGTGATTAGAGGTGTCAAAGTGACCTCATCAAAAGTCTTTCAGTATTATTTGAAAAATCGGTGGATCTAAAGTGAAGTGCTGTTGCTGGTATTTAATAAGTCATGCTTGATATTTGTATAATCATTTGAAGGGAATGGTGAATAATTTACTAATTTTTAACAGGATTGAAACGGCCCTTAAAATTGTATGATATCCTAATATTAAAGAAGAGGAAAAGGTACCAAAACAGCATCAGAAATTGTTTGTACTTAATTTTTCTTAGGTTAGCAACATTTACGCTCGTAACCCAAAGATTCTTTAGCTTGCAGTTTTCTGTTCAACTTTGGAATTACTCAGCATTGTCAATTTTTTTCTAATTGAATGCAGCAATTTTTTCTAACTTCTGCAGCAATTTTCCAATTCTGCTATGGGAGCAGGGCAGAAATATTGTATTTTAGGAGAGACAAGTTATATAAGCCCACATTTTTTTCCAATTATTTTGATAAAAGCTCTTCAGCCATTAATCTATTGATCACCTTCTTCAATACCCTTTTTGTTGCTTTGGCTCTAGCATTTACATTGGGATGAGAAGTATAGATCTACTCATATTTTCTGGACAACACCAATATTTATACTGGAAACCTTTAGAAAAGAGGAAGAAAATTGTATCCTGTGATTTCAATGTGCCATTCTACCACCCCATCTCGAATTTGGGAGATGTTGTAAGATTTTAAAAAATAAAATAGAAGTCTTAAGAAGTCTCACAGAGGCTGATGTTTCTTATTTTATTTCTTAAGTTTGACTCCCAAAGTCTTTTTGTAGTTTTTGTGGCAATATGCAGAAGAAATGTGTTTATGCCACTGCCCTCCTCTTCTTCATCCTTATCCTGCTCCTGCTCCTTCTCCTTCTTCTTTGAGCTCTGACATTTCCTGGTGCTTTCTAATTTAGTGCTAAATTCAATAAAATAAATGAAAGTCAACTGGAATCTATCACTTGGGTGGAAATTTCATCAATCAGAATTTCCCATAACTTAGATCAAAAAGCAACTCCAATACATCATTTTACACATAGTACCAGCAGCAAGAATTGTCTATGCTCAATGTTGGATACTAGAAAATATACCAGCCAATGAGATGATTATATACAAGATACTAGAATGTGCTGAGAATCATAGACTCACATTAGAAATGAAATGAAAGGAAGAAGCAGAATTTTATGAGGTGTAGGATAAGTGGTATAATTGGTTAGAACAGAGAAACAAAAATATATAGGAATAAATGTAAATACTTGTAAGAGACACATGTTAAAAATATTTATTATTATGTAAACTGAAATTAAAAAATTAAAATAAAAAAAAGAGTTTCCCATAACTTACGGGATTGGTATATTGAACTGAAAATAACTGGGCAAAGACCAGTGAATTAATGAATAGACCTGTTCCTTGTAACCTCTCTAGATAGGAGAGCATTTGCCCACAAGTGCTACAGGTAGCTACTGCTCATGAGGACACAATAGGACTGTAGTTTTCTGCAGGTTTGAGTGCCGGGGAAACAACAGGATTAGCTATCTTGTTCGCAGCTGCAGTGGAGACATTTAAAGGACAGTACGTTTGCAAATTTTTTCTGAATGCTTGGAATGATTGAGGGCAAAAGAAGAAGGGGAGGACAGAGAATGAGGTGGCTGGATGGAGTCACTGAAGCAGTTGGCATGAGCTTAAATAGACTCCAGAGGATGGTAGAGGACAGGAAGGCCTGGAGGAACGTTGTCCATGGGGTTGCGATGGGTTGGACACAACTTTGCAACTAACAACAACAAAGCTAATAGAAACCCACAGAGTGACACGTTTGAAAATGTTGGGTGAGTCTTATCTTCAATCCTGAAAAAAAAAATTAATCATAAGCTTAAGAATTTAAAGAATCTGAGATAAACAGCAAAAAACAAAATATGCTTTTAATCTTAGAAAGTTAGAAATGGACTAAGGGTTCTTTTCTCTAGTCGGCAAAATATCCAGTCAGGTTTGAGAAGGGCATGGCCCAAATTACATTCTTATAGCACATTTAAAACATTTGAAGTCTTTGTTCACATTATCTATATGATCCTAGAGCCATCTGGGGCAGACATTATTATTCTCCAATGGTCGATAAAGTAAATACAGATTTCTTGCAACTGAGATAGGATGATGATTTCAGCATCATATGCAAATAATTATAAGAAAGAACTACAGAAGAAGAGTTTTTATTTTTATTTTAGGATGGAGGATTAAGTAAGTTCTTTTATCTGACCTTATTTTGGTTTCTGAGATGTTTCATTCTAGTGGTGATTTATATTGTGTTGCAAGGAGGGCTTCACTGTCTCAGATTAAATTGATGCTATTCTGGGGATACTTCATAATAGCAGGGAAAAGAATCAGTCAAGTTTATTGTCATCTCATGGGACGCTATGGCTGAATGCATTTGGAATTTAGGAGTTGACAGCATCTACAGTACTTGCCACAAAGCCAACAAGGTCCTGATTTTCTCCCTTAAGTTGAGAATATAATGTTGCTATGTATGCCTTCTTCTGGTTGTCATAAAACATAATGTTCATTCTGCAGAACACAAAATATAAAACAAATGTGCTACCTTATGAAATGAAACAATTTTCCAACTAAAATCCTAAAACAATAAGAGTATTGAATAAGTCATAATTTGTTTCATTATTTTTATTTTATTAAGATTTGTTTATTTGTTTGTTTGTTTGTTTAACTTGTTTGCTGTGTATCTCATCTAGCAATAATGAAATATGGTTGCCTACTCCATACAAGCTTACTCCTTTAAAGCAAGAACAATAAAATAAAAGGGTATAGATCTTATGCATTCCGAAGAAAAATCATAAATAAAAAAATAGAAAAGCCTAAATTGGCTCAGCAACAATGACACAACAAATCTATCAAAACCAGGGCAAATAAATCTTCAGTAAATTGCTGAACATCCATTAGGGGGAGCCATAGAGATCTGGAGAAGGAGTGCTGTTTCAGAGGGCAAGTTCCTACATCCTGGTAGATGGCATTGTTTGTTCAAAGGGACCTAAGGTGCATCCACTCTGTCCAGTGTTACAAGATGAGCAGAAACTATCAGAGAGGGATTAACCCATTGGTGAAATTCAATTTTTTTTTACTATCGGTTCTATGGGCATGGTTTGGTGGGCATGGCAGGGGAAGAATACTACAAAATCCCCATTCCCTCCGCACTCCTGGGGGAAGGATATTGCAAAATCTCCATTCCCACCCCACTCTGGGACCAGCCAGAAGTGGTATTTGCCAGTTCTCCGAACTACTCAAAATTTCCGTTACCAGTTCTCCACAACCTGTCAGAACCTGCTGGATTTCACCCCTGGATTAACCAGTATCTTGAATTGCAAGCGACAACCAGCTGGCCAATCAGTGCAGTTCACAAAACATTGGTCTCACATGGATATATTGTAAAATGCTCATTACTAATTATCCAGAGCTAATGTAGAAATATTGCTATGTGGGCATTTAACTTTTTAATAAATGGTACTGTACTAGTTTAGTGAGTAACAATGCTCCCATAGGCATATCCATTGGCATCCATTTATCTCATAGTCATATTTGCCTTTTTTTTAAATCTTAAAAAGCAGAAAGCTGATCAATTTCAAACCAAAGATTTTGCTTCCAGCACCATTTTTATCTGAGAATGTTTCTGAGTCCCAGTAAGTTCTCTAAGTATTTCTCAAATTAAAAATTGTGGCTGAGCATAATTTAGTAATTTGTGAGGGAATAAAAATGCAGATGTGCTCCTTTGATAGAAAGTATCTTGAGAGGAAACAGGAAGCAAGCTTACCATTTTGCTTTTTGATAAATAGATGCTGTCACTTAGTGGTAATTCCATCTCAACAATAAGTATCCACAGCATTACTTCCTAAATTCGAAATTGGCCTGCCAACACAGAGAAAATGTTTAACACTGTTCCAGTCAAATGAATGTGTCCTACTTAAGCAATGACTTTTGTGTATTACATATCCACATGGGTACTTCAGCAAGTCTCTATTGCAAACGTTTCAATACCAATTTCATATGTATTGTATACAGCTTTGCATATCACTGATTACATGCATATATCTATCTCTATCTCTATCTCTATCTCTATTCATTGTACACTTTGATTATATAAAAGTAAATGGCAAATACTTTTCTTGATAAAACTTTGGCTTCTCTGCTTACAGAATTATTGATAAATAATTCAATCACAATCAATTTGAGGAGCCTGAAAAATCAAGCAGCATGTTGATTTATGTGTCCAGATCAGTGGTGGGATTTAAATTTTTTTACTACTGGTTCTGTGGGCATAGCTTTTCGACGTGGCATGGCTTGGTGGGTGTGGCTTGGTGGGCATGGCAGAGGAAGGTTACTGTAAAATCTCTATTCCCACCCCATTCCAGGGGAAGGTTACTGCAAAATCCCCATTTCCTCCTAATCAGCTGGGACTTGGGAGGCAGTGAATAGAAGGGGCAGGCCAGTCAGAGGTGGTATTTACTGGTTCTCCGAACTACTCAAAATTTCCACTACTGGTTCTCCAGAACTGGTCAGAACCTGCTGAATACCACCTCTGGCCCAGATGTATTATTAGATTCTTAACCTGAATGGATTCAAACCAACTGCTTTCCTTTATAGCAGTTTCCATTATTAATCTATAATCCAGATATCAAGCATGAAATTTTATTGTGAAAAATTGAAAAGGGGGTGACGCAAACAGAGGGATGAGGAACTGCATGATGATACAAAAATATCTGAACTATCTGGCATATAATTGGATTTCTATTAAATCTAAAAATATCAACTACTGCAGGTGTTATATATGTGGATCATCTCTTGCAAACAATAATGTATGTCCATTTAGCAAAACTCACTTGAGTTGCTATGTCATAGTATCCAAGTGTTTTAAGTTATTCTGTCTTCTGAGAAGCACATGTTCAAGCAAGAGCAAACTTCCTCTGCTGTAATGTGTTATGTGGCAATTGATAATTGGTAAGAAGCTGCAGTCAGAAAATAGAAATCAGAAAATTCCAATATACTGTATTTAGAATTTTGAGTGGATGTTCTAAGTGCTGTCAGAAAATGGCTGTCATGGGGAACATTGCACTTCTCTAGCAGAATACAGTCTCTCTTATCACTGCCCTACCTCCTATCAAGTATGAGCCTCGGTCGCACAATGGTTATAGTGCAATACTGCAGGCTACTTCTGCTGACTGCCGGCTGCCTGCAATTTGGCAGTTTGAATCTCACCAGGCTCAAGGTTGACTCAGCCTTCCATCCTTTTGAGGTGGGTAAAATGAGGACCCAAATTGTTGGGGGCAATATGCTGACTCTGTAAACCACTTAAAGAGGGCTGTAAACAGGTGGGATTCAGCCAGTTCGCACCACTTCGGGAGAACCGGTTGTTAACTTTCAGAGCAGTTTGGCAAACTGGTTGTTGGAAGAAATCACTAGGGCAGAGAACCGATTGTTAAATTACTTGAATCCCACCACTGGCTGTAAAGCACTGTAAAGTGGTATATAAATCTAAGTGCTAAGTAACTCTCCAATCTTTCCTGCTTTTCTCAGAATGTGTCTGCTCTCTATGTGAGGATTAGAAAGATTCTTGAAATAATTATGATGACAAAAGTTAATGATTTGCTTAGCAGTATGTGTAGTCTCCTTCCTTCCTTCCTTCCTTCCTTCCTTCCTTCCTTCCTTCCTTCCTTCCTTCCTTCCTTCCTTC